TCGTCGTCGTCGTCGTCGTCGTCATTATCATCGACAGTAGCGAATCCCTCGTCCCCACATGTACCTCAAGTAAATGCAGCAACACCATCAGCATGCAGATCTAAACTACCTACACCACCACCACCACCACCACCACCATCACCACAATTATCGCACACAAAACCCACAGCAACGACAACTTGTACGGCACAGTCATCAACATCCAACTCCAATTCATTGACTGCCACCATCAACACTACCACCGCTACGGCCTCAGTAACAGCAACAGCAATAACGACAAAAGACTCTAACACGATTACTAATGTTAAGCAAACTTCAAAAGCAAAGTGAATCCTTTTCACGTTTCACGGGTTTTTTATGTTACGTATGCGTGGTATGTATGATTATTTTTTCATTATAATTCCTTTCTTTTTTTTTCGTTCCCCGTATTTATAAAGACTACTCTCTGTTTTCTTTTTGAATTGGATTGGAATCAAATTCCTTTGGAAAGAAAATACAAAATATTAGGCAGTTAAAAATATATTCCTTAAGTATAAATGTAATACATTGGAAAGATAACAATCGCTCGACATGAGTGTTTACTGGAACGCTCGAATATGTGAGCAATAAAAAAACAAAAGGAAAAACGGTTGAAAATCTTTTTAGCTGCCTGCTCTTGTCATAAACTTTTCAAGTTAGTTGTTATTAATGCCAAGAGAGCAATGAAAGGCTTTATTGAATCCATCCATGCTTATGTATGCTTATCAGAGTCATTTCTTCATTCCTTGATATGCCCTTGCAAAACCCTCAACTATTCCCAGGTCTGACATTACAAACGTAACTTGATTGCATATGTATATATCTATGCTTGATTAAATTTTTAGACAGTAAACTCGTTCTACGAAAAAGCCGTGTAAAAAAAACTAAAATCGATTCGTTTCAAATTCGTATCATTTGGATTGTCCTTGAATGAAATGCACTATTTATAAGAGAACTTAGGAACGACGTGGTTTCAAACTGTGTCTTCACTTTTCCAGATAACATTAAAACACAATCGTCTCGTAAGCCGGGAAGCACGCAATCGGTGATTTAATCAATTTCAACAGCAACGGTTTTCAACTACAGCTACTGTGCTGTGTCTAGATCGCAGACTGACATCATGCGCCTCAAACCCAGAATTTTTTAAAATATGAATAAGGTCTCATCTAAAGCTTAGCACCCAAAATATTTTGAAATATAAATAAAGTCCCATCTAAAGCTTAGCACCCAAAACCTTTCTCTCTCTCTCTCTCTCTCTCTCTCTCCAGCAATTTAAAACCAATAAAAGCAAGTAAGGGATCTTAAAACATCCCAAGGATGATATGTTTGGACTCCTTGCGCGACTTAATATTTGATTTCTGATTTCAACCAGATATTTCACTGCACTTTGTCTGAGGTGCGGAAGTTTTTAATGCGTACGACATTATTTTGCACTACTTATGAGTCCTTAGCATTAAATGTACATGGCGCTCTAGATTGGCTTCATTATCGAGATTGTAAATGGAAATGTTCTTCGTTTGAATTAGAAGACCCTAAACGGCCCGCTAGAAATTTCACTTCCGTTTTATCTTTGTCCGAACGACTTGCATTTCGTGCCCTCATTTTTTTGCTACGGACTCTAAGCAGGTCAAATTAGTAAAAAGGGAGAAAAAACCAAGGTCAAATGTTCTTTCGTTACTTAAGCTCCTGATTTAAGTTACACTCCTTTTATTTGTACTGCACATCTTTTTTGCTGCTTTCCACTCGAACATATAAAAGAATTGAGAAGAAAACCGGAAAAAAACTGGAAGTAAGCGCACCATACGAGCAATGAAATGATTCAAAACGAAACAGGTCTAGAAAATGGAACCCTACAATTAGGCAACTGAGCCAATAACTGCAAATCTCAAGGGACGATGTTTAAAAAATGAAGAAAAAAACGCCCTTTTTACGGTTTACACTTACTTCTCTGTTACAAATATAAATATCATTGCGGGCTCTATAAGAATGGATAGCTTTCTTGTCTTTATTTGAAGGCGATTAATAACTTTTCTCGTAATTTCTATTGAAATCCATTAATCTTATCCGTTGTTTTTTTTCTTGTACTTAGTTCGTTCATTTCCTGTGTAAGATAGAATGTATTTCTCGCACCACTCAGTGTTGTCTCAACATGATACACATTTTTTTTGGGTGGTGGATTTGACATATGAATGGCACGTAGCTCAGCTTACTAATACGGACATGAGTACATTTGTACTTAGTCTTTTATATTGTTTTTTAAAAACTTTGCCTAAAGCTGATCTATTTATAAAGCTGACATTAGGTTCGAAATTTTAAAAACAAAAAAGGAATATTTATTTAATGAGTGGGGTTGTTTAAGTTGTGGTGAATATCAAATTTTTCTTGTCATCTCTCGCACTCTGAGCTTATGATCACATATGGTACGTGTGTAAAAGTAATTCCAAGAAAACTTTTCTCGTGCGGGTCATGTTTGTTTGACTTACGATGCGAGAATTTAAGTTTCATCTTAAATTCGCGTTTCGAAGCACGGTTACTACTACAGGACGTAGCCTGTCGCCAGAGATAAGTTCAAGATTTTTGTAATTAAGCCTTTCTTCGTCTTTCGTTCAAATATAATTATTTTCTATAAAAATTTCAATATCCTGTAGCAGTGAGTAACCATAGCCGATTTTTACCATTTGCGTAAAGGTGCTGTAAGGCCACCCATAGAATGTAAATGCAGTTTTTGATTGTTGTATTTGTTGTAGTTTATAAGTAACAAACAAAAAGTCAAATTTCTTTTTGGAAACAGGAGTGGGCCCAGGTTACATTATACGTGCGTGCAAGAACACACATTCCACAGGCAGACATACAGGTGTAATTAAATCGGTTTAGAATTTGATGCTGATCAAGAAGATCCCGGTTCTCGATATTGCAACTATTTTAACAAAATGAATGTACTCCTCATCCCTCGGTCGTGGGTATAAAATATAAAATGAAATACGGGGAAAACGCAGGCAAGCTCTTTGTTTTTCTTCTTTGTTAAGAAAAATGACAGGAACATGATCCGTTGGGGTCTTGGCCAGTTAGAATAATTTTTGCAATAATTTCATCCGATGATAAACAGGAAAAATATAAACGTAAAGGTATGGATAATCTTTTATTCAGCTTATTTCCCATTTAATTTTCTCTTTATCGAGTTAAGAATTTGTCCAGTTATTCCATTAAGTTTTATACGGGTCATGCCGAAAGATGAGGCGCATCTTCAGTTTGTCAAAGCGTTTGCAACGTCCAGCCGACAACTTCGTAGGTCACTAAAAATATATATTTCCCTGACCAGAATCAAATTTTGAATCGATCTAAGCAATGTTTGTTGAAAAATTGTTCTATCCGCAAAAATGAAGCTATCGACTTTAAATTTGCAAAAACATTGGAATTTCAATGTCTATTTTGTCTAGTTGGAAAAGTTGACTACGCCTCGAAGCAAGCTTCAAAATGTCCATAGTGGCTAATTTCAGACTCGGAATAGACTCATGTCCATTTGTCCGTCTCTGTGCATCTAACGATCCGTCAGCCTGATGGTCTATTATATGTAGTACACATATGACCGTTCATAAAAAAGAATATGGCTTATAAAAAATGTTAAGGAATTTGAAAATGGTCCAAGCGGGTTAAAGAACTCACCTATAACGCCTACAGGGCTCTACAACCAAAACAGGGAACACCTTTGGTCGCTGCTCATGAACTGCAACAGATGTACGTTCTAAATTTCCACAAAATTATTTTACAGAAAGGCAGGTTTATATAATTGTTTTTTTGTCAATCTTTTATAGATTAACGATGATGGATATAAAAGGTTTGGTCGCGATCAAATATAGTTTCAGTAGTAGTAGGCAGGGTTGCATTTTAATTCGCGATGATTTTGACAGGCTTAAAGATGGTATACGCTTTAAAAAGTGCTACCTTACTGTGACGAGTCATTTCATTCTTCTCCAGCGGTTTTCTTACGAGATTTCCCGTAATTATGATACCAGAACAAAATACTTTACTTGCTTTTTGCTATTTTGCTGAAACAATGCAGCATCTTTTTTTTTAGATATGACCAGTCACTCAGGGGGTGTCTCCTATTCGTGTAACACGGTGAGCGTCAGAAAGAAGCAAAGAAAGCAGTAGGAAGATGATCGTAGCCTAGTGGGTGGGAGCTCTCAATCGGTAACTTTAATTACGTTACCGACTGAGCATTGACTATAGCTGCGCGCAAAGTAAACGCTAGCGTACAGACTGAGTTATCAGTCACGATTCGTATAGACCGCAGATGGCTCGATATCTTTCAAGAAAAACTTATTCTGATAGATTTTTGAAGAGTATTGCCGTTAAAAACAATTTCTTCAGAAATTAAATTATAAGCTAATGAATTCTTGGTGGTGGTTATCGAAAATAAGGCCTTTAAAGAAACTTTAGTATACGAAAACTAATAAATGCGTTAAAAAGTAATTTGTTTTTACACTTTTATTATTTGCTTAAATGTTTTATTCATTTTTTGTTTCAATAAAAACAAAACATATGTAAATAATTATATTTAAGTGTATTCGTAAAGCATTTAATCATAAGGAAGAAAAACTGTACAGTAAATACTTAAATATAAAAAGAGATAGGATGAGAAAACTAAGAAGTGTTGTATTAAATTACGGAATTTTTTTTAAAGATTATTTATAAGAGAAACAAAAAAACAAAAACTAAACAAGAAAAGAGAAAATATAAATAAAACGAATAAATATTTAAAAGAATTCTTTAAAAACAACAAAACAAAAAATCCATGAAAATCTTTTTAATTTTTATAGCAAACATTAAATTTTGGTTTGTTAAATTGATTTGATATGATTATAAAGAAATAAATGGGGATATGGATACTTGTATGTATGGGATAAAGGGAATGTGCACACATGCGACAAATGGCACAAAGTGATTGAATGAATGGTTATTGGATAACTTAGTAGGTAAGTACGAAACAAGTATCGGGTATCATCATCATCTCTCTTACGGGATGAAAACCGAAATCGTTCATTCTTCTAACGCAAACAATTGCCAGAACATATAGGAAACGAAGATAAGACCAAAGAGAACAGAATGCAAGCATGTGTATAAGAAAAATGTAACGAGCAGGAAAAAAACAATTCACATAAACAAAATTCCTTAACCGGAAATAAGAATAAAAGTACAAAAATACCCACACGCAAATAACAACAACACACAAGCACACATACACATGCTAACAAATGGTCGTTTACGTTTTTGGCTAAAGAGTAATAAAAAAAATTTAAGCCAACGGCATC